ATCTAATGTAATTATTGGAATGTTAGGGCTGAAGTTGCCTATTTTATTTATTTTTGTTTTGTTTTGTTTCCTTTTTTTTTCTTTTTGCCTTTCTATGGGTCACTCAAACACTTTTAAAATTCAATTTTATCTACAGTGTTATTGCATTTATCTTTTGTACAGCTTTTTTAATGGTGGCTCTAGGTGTTACTATATATATGTAACTTATCACAGTCACTTGGTGGCATCATTTTATCAGTTTGAATGAAGTGTGGAAACCTTACCTCTTTAAAATCCCTTCACCCTCTCCCATTTATAACTGTCTTGAAATATTTCCACTGCTGGGTTGGGGTGGAGTTTCAGGTTTCTCATGTGTTTCCACTGATACGGCAAGGGGGGACAATCCCAGCAGGATGAAAGTCCTGGCTTCCTACTCAGCATTCCCTGACATCATCCTAGCAGGGGAAGGTTGGGCACATCATTATAGCCTGCAGGTTAAAGTCTAGGTTCCCCACCCAGCTTTTCCTGGCATGGGTGGGGCTGGGGCCAGTTTTTTCAGTGGTGTCTAGCTGGAGTAGAGCAGTTACTGTCTAAAAGTCTTCTGTCTTGCTAGGAGATATTGTCCCTTTCCTGGTCCTGTGGCTAGAGAGAGCAGATTTTTCAGTAGGCTTTTTTTTTTTTTGTCTGCATCCATTGGCATTTCCAGGTTGCTAGCTTCTTCAGCTCCAACTCTGAGCTATATGAGGCAAAAAGAAAACTCAGGAAACTCACCACCAATCTGCCTTCTTCTCACCACCTTTTAGAATCTTCCTTTTTCTTTTACATATCATGTCCAGAGTTTTTAGAGTTTTTACTTGTACTTAGCAGGAGGAATAGGGAAAAGTCTGTGTACTACATCTTCCCAGAAGCAGAGGTTTTAAAAAATACTTTATACAGTTGCCCCCCACAACAGGATATGAGTGTATTTGGTCACTGTATCCAGGATAAATCAAACTTACAGGAGTCTACATAACTCAAGTGCAGGGAGAAGATCCACATCAGGTATGACAATCACCCTAGTGTAGAAAGCCCTATGTCACAGGAGCAAATATCTCCGGTAATAACTCCATAGGCACAGCTTCCAGAATCTCCACAAGGGACAGTTATAAGAGTGACTGCATTCAGGGAAGTCCAAAGCTATGGCTTCCTATCAGGTATTTATAATTCTCTCTCTCCAGATGCAATATACCAGTTGAGTTATTTTTACCATAAGGAAAATTGCCTAATAACAAAACACCCATTTTTCATTGTTTCCTGGGAAATGGAACTCGAGAATTAACCCAAAGTCAAATTCTCATAAAAGGGGAAAGGGTTTATTAATTCTGTATCCCTAAGTGTCATACCTCCCACAAAACAAAAATGGTTTTCTTTTTTTCCTGACTTTTAAAAATGATCTTTTCAACTACACTTGGTATATCTTGAGGGGAACAAGATCATTTTACTGAGTGACAACTGGAGTAGATGGTTGATGTACAATATGGTGGGATACATTTTTTCCTTTCCTCCTAGTGTTACTTCCCTGACTCAATCTATGTCAGAATGTGACAAATTGGGAAAAAGTCCCCAAAACAAGCACATATGGTTGTTGTATACTTCTCCGACATCAAATTTTATTACTGTCCTCCCTAAGCTGATCATCTCAAACATTTTCTATTTCATAC